CATCTTTAATATAAGATTTTTTAATTAATTTAATTAGATTAAAAAATTAGATAAGTTAGTTAATTATAAGAAATATGATATATTTTTTCTAAAACACTATAATAATATTTCTTAATATCCTTCTTCATTTACTTACTTGATTATGGTTGAGGAAGTATTCATAGGGATAATTTAAAAAAATTGATAAATATGAAAAATAGATTTTATATTTATGACCAAAATTAACTTAATAATTAGTACATATATTAAGGATCGGAGGAGTACTACACTTCATCACATAAATTTAAATATTAATTAAAATTAATCAAAAACAATAAAAAATAAATATATAGAAATTAAAAGCTCTTTACTCAAAATATCGTTATTTATAAAAAAAATGTATAAAAAATAAAATAAAATCATTATTATAATAAAAAGAATTTTTTTTTTTGGGGGGTTAAATTAAGGAGCGCGAGGTTCAATCACGCGACGTGATAGGGGACGCTACCTTGCTACGCCATCAAGCCAAAATTTCTAATTGCTAAAGGAGTTATAAGAAAAAGAGAATATGTGATAAAAAAAAGATGAGGGTTTAAAAATAAGATAATAAATATATCTACTATTAAAATAAATAATTAATATGAGTAAAATAAGAACTTTGTTATAAAAATTTAAAATAACTTACAAATATTACTTATATTTAAAGACAAAAGAGAATAGTGATTGTTGCTTACCAATGTCCCTTTTTATAAATAATATTAGACTTCATCACATAAATCAAAATATTGATTAAAATTAGGCAAAAACACTAACGATAATAAATATACAGAAATTAAAAGTTTTTAACTCAAAATATCACTATTCATTAAAAAAAGGTATAAAAATAAAATACAATAATTATTATAATAAAAAGATTTTTTTTTTCTTTGGTTCAACTAGGGAGTGCGAGATTCAATCACGCAACTTGATGGGGACCCCATCTTGCTTCACCGTCAAGCCAAAATTTAGAATCGCTTAACAAACCTATAAAAGAGAGAAAAAATGTGATAAAAAAGATAATAATTTAAAAATAAAATAATAAATATATTAAGTATTAAAATAAATAATTAATATGAGTAAAATAAGAATTTTGTTATAAAAATTTAAGATAACATACAAATATTATTTATATTTAAAAATAAAAAAAGTAATTGTTGTTTATTAAAAAAAAAAAAAAAAGAGGAATGTCTATCTCTCCTGGGGCCCGCACAGTGCCTCCGTTCATATCCCCACTCCAAAAATATCATTACTTTCCAGGCATGAGTCAAACTATACCTATCAGACACAGAAAAAAGAAAAACAGTGAGAGAACCCAACAGCTCGTTTACTTTTAATCTTTGGTCGAAATTTAGATCTGGGTCCTGACGTGGACATGGTGGGTCACCCCTTCCTGCCTTCTAGATATTGTGCATCAGTCAGCTTTTTCCGCCATTCAAGGGGGAAAAAATAAGGAAAAATTATAACGAGATTTTTAAAAAATAATTATAAAATAAATTTCATAAATTATATTTTTTGTTTTAAAATTTATTATTGCAACTATTTAGGAAAAATTACTAATAAAAACCTCTTAACATGTAAAATTACTTGAATTTAAAAAATAGTAAATAAGGACCCGATTCCATTTTTATAAATATGAAATCATAGTAAAATGTCCGAAATGTCCTTCAATCAAATGATAAGTTGACTATAGGAAGTGAAAAGTTCATTTTAGCGAATGACAACCTCAATAGACCAAGTCAAAATTTGGCTGAAGGATATTTTAGATATTTCACCCACATTTCATATTTGTAAAAGTGAGATCAGGTCCTTATTTATTATTTTTTAAATTCAGAGTTTTAAATCATAATTTACATATTGGGGTTTTTATTTGCAATTTTTCCAACTGTTTAAATTTTTATTAAAAAATTTTAGTAATTATTTTTTTTGTAAAACGTCATTGTAATTTTAAAAAAAAAAGACAAATTACTTCCTCTTGGAAGATGTGACGGCCAGCGGACTGGGATAAGCTTTTGAGGGGCCCAAGTCTAAAATATTGTTTGGGGGAATAAAGAAACAAAAAAGCGTCAGCCGGCAGTCCTAAGTCTAAAATATTGCTTTTATGGTAATTGTTTTAACTGTTGGACTACTGACCTGAGCGGTATTGCTTGCTCTAAATAACGTATTAAATGTAGGACAAAGTCCTAAGTCTGTGGGCAACCAAACGTCACCTTCTTGCTCTCTGAAAACACGTGTATGTATTTCTTAACCTGCTCATCAAGTCTCAATGTGAAATTTCTTAAATAAACTTTCATGAGAGACAGTTGATCATGTCAAAAATAATGTGAAATTTCTTAAAACAAAATTTCATGGGAGGCAGTCGATCGGCTCAAGTCTAACCCTATAAAATATATATATATATATATATATATGATTTATGACAGAATTCACCGCTTGAACATGGACCTCACGCACGCACACGCGTCTGTGCTAGTTGAGTTTTAGGAGGTGTTTGAATGGAAACCAAACCATAATTTCAAAAGTACTTTTATAATTTACGAAGTAAATATGTGGAGGAGTTTGTTTCGTTTTGCGGAAAAGTATTTCTGAGAAGCACTTTTAAAGGTTGCCAAACACTCCTTTTAATGAATCTTTAAACTTTTATCGCAAAATTTAGTACATATAATATTCTTTTATACAAATAATTATATAAACACATGTATATTATTAGAAACTAAAAATAAATTATATGATAATTTTAATTTTAACTGTTGATATGAAAAAATAATTTTTAAATTTTTCTTTTACTATTTTTTTATAATGTTTTATTTCTTCTAAAAATTATTTTTAATATAATATTAATTTCAAATGAAACTAATTTTGAATTTTAATATAATATACTAGTATTATAAGTTTCATGAAATTTCATTGAGCTTTCGGTCTGATGCTGCTCGGATTTTAAAAAAGGTCTAAATGAAGTAATTTGGACGATTAAATGATAGGAAATGGCTTTGAAAAGGTCATAAAATTGTTACTTGATGCTTATTGATGGTTAGTGGCTTGGTTTCAAGCTCTATGTAAATTTTTGGAGGGCCATTTTCCCTAGCTATAACTAGGTTCTTTGAATCTGAAGAGAACATGAACATGTGCAAAAACATAATAAATTTATAATATTATATATTCTTTGAACTTGCAATATATAGTTTTGTAATAGACAAACATATTTAATTGAGTGGGAAAAAAATGAAAGCAACATATAATTAATTAGGAGCAAAATTGAAAAAAAAAAACATTAAATGGTCAAATCCAAATTGTAGCTTATGAAAAAATAAGACACTTGAAAGATTGGATGCTTTTATTTTCAATTAAAGTATTGCGGGAATACGTTAGGAAGACAACAAATCTAAAATACAAATAGAAAGCCAATTTTTTTTTTAAAAAAGGGTAGAAATGTATTTAATACTCTAATATTATTTTTTACTGTATCTAATATCCTGATTTTGTTTATAATACATCCAATACTCTAATCTTATTTTTCTAGTATATTTAGCACCCTGATGTTATGTATTTAGTTATATCCATCACTTTAATCTTTAGAGTATTGGATGTATAAAAAAATAAGATTAAAGTGCTGAATATCTCGTAAAAAAAATTAGGATATTGGATACTCCTAATAAGCTTGGATCTAGCAACAGAGATCTTGTTCGCAATGAAATAACGTTAAAATACAATTTTCTCAGAATGTCTCATTATTCCTCACGAAATACTACCAAAACCTTTGGGAGCTAGCTATAAACTTATATTAAGGACCAAGTACTATAAAAATGTGCTTAGACTACTAAAAGAAACATCCAGTCACCGAAAATGGGAAGTTTTGAAATCATAAATCCATCCATAAACAAATACACCTCGCACTAGGCAAGAGTCTGATGACTTCTGTTTGCTACGAAGCAGCAATACCAAAAACATAAATATTTATATATATTTTTGCAACTAAGTGATACCAATCAAATCTCACTCGGTTCTATCAATTTATTTAAAAGGTAAAATACAAATTTGTTCTAAAAGTTTTTAGAAATATTGGATACTTGAAATTCTTTTGAGGTAAAATACAAATTTGTTCTATCAATTTGTTCTAAAAGTTCTATAATTATTGAAAAGGTGTGATTCTGAAGAAGAGGACATAATAGGTGTGTGAAAGAAGGTAGTGGATTAGAGGGAAGAGAGAGAATGAGAGCACTAGAGAGAGACAGGATGAACATGAGGGGGTTACAGCCAACGGTGACATTCCGGCAAACGCTGATCATGAACAATCAAAAGATGTTGATATGCTAAGAAGAAATATAAAGAAAATGCTTGTTGGAGAGAGTGACACTCTCATGGCCGATGGCGATGGAGTGGATACACAAGAAAATGGTCAATCAAGAGATACGAAATTGGATGATGGAGGGAAGAACCAAAATAGGTGGGAGCAAAAGAAACAGGGTAAAACACAAATCTCGTACAAGTCAAAACTTGTTGGACAGGAAGAGAAAGTCCTTGACTAATCTCAAGAAGAACAGATGGAGGAGTGGTTAAGAGAAGAAGAACAGATGGCACTGGATATCTCTCCAGAACAGAAAAAACTGATGGAGGGGTTGCCAAGCCTCAATATGAAAAATGAGAGATTGAAGGAACTGTGCAAACCATGGAGAAATGCCCTGATCATTACTCTGCTAGGAAAAATCACAAACCTTCAGATGATGACAGATAGGATACGTTGGCTTCTTAAGTCGTCAGACTTCGAACTGATCAACCTTCCGAATAACTATTTTGTCTTTCGAATAGCAGAATAGAGCCTTTGCAGGAGGTTACTATTTGATGGGCCATGGCTTATACAAGGTCACTACTTAGCGGTTCAACGATAGAGTCCCAATTTTAATTCTTATTGTAACCAACTCAAAAAGGTTGCAATCTGGGTTAGAGTCCCCACTTTGCCTATGCACATTTACTCAGAGGACTGCCTTATGGAGTTGGGCAATCTGATTGGGAAAGCCTTAAAGTTCGATATGAATACCTTAGTCCACTGTGATAAGCAAAGAACATTCGTGGAACGGGGTAAATTCACGAGAGTCAGTGTAGAAGTTGATCTGACTAAGCCACTTCAATCGAGATTCATTATTCGGAAGAGGATATTCACAGTAGCATATGAAGGACCTAAAGTAATCTGCTTCCAGTGTGGTAAATATGATCATAAGAAAGAAGAATGCTCCCTAGCAAGAACGACTCAGAGTGGAACAATGGAGAACAACCCACCGAAGAAGAAGATGCAGTCACCGAAAAATACAACAAAAGCAACGCAGCCTTTGGTCAATGTGCCAGGAGTTACTTACAAGGAGCAGTACGGAGAGTGGATGGTTACCCAAAAAACCTTTAGACAAAGACTGGGGAGACGAGAGGCAAAACGAAGAAATGCAAATATCCCTGCAGGTGTAAATAAGTCAACTGCTTCTGACAAAAAGAAAACTACTGGCACACAGTTTGAAGTACTCCAAGAGGAGATGATAGAGACCCCAACAATGGCGAGTAGTACTACAAACAAGAAAAAGGAGCCTGCAAAAGAATGGAGGAAAAAAGCAGGAAAAGAACCTAGTACTGAAGAGGCAAGAGAACGGTTGCAAAATCAACAACATATGAACCGAAGCTACTTTGTTTTTGGTGAAACAAGTATGAGAGGGACAGAAATCTTAGGAATGAAGGAGCTGGCAAATAAGTGTGATGAAGAAAGAGAAAAATTAGGGGATAATAAGAAGGGCCTTACAAAAGAGAATAAACAAGGCAATGCCCAAATAAAAAGCCCACAGAAGGAGTAGTCTCGACGAGAAAGGAAACTGATTGGGCTTAAAAGAAGCCAAGCCTCTAGGCCCAAAATTGTCTCCCCGGTGCTAAAGAGAAAATTTGTAGTCAGGCTTAATCAAATAGTCATTGGGTCTATGAGTAGTAAAGGGCCAACAAACTTGAATGCCCATTTTGAGCAAGCCCAAACAACATTAATGACAGGACAAGAAGAGAAGATAGAACTGGAAATTCCATCAATGAAGGAAACCACACAAAACTTACAGGAACATCGTGTGACCAGGGATTAAATGGTGAGATCACTAAAGAAGCCTCCTGATCTGGTGAATATGGACGGAGAGAGTAATCCTGAAACTCAGAATGAGGAAGCAAATGATATGTGGTTCGAAACTTAGGATGATGTTAAGGACGAGTTGCAAAGCGGAATGAGCGAGTTGGTAGCAGACCTCTGGTCCCACTAAGGAGGTATGCCTACCCTTCTTCTCCTTTGGTTTATCATGAATATTGTTGCTTGGAATTGTAGAGGAGCTGCCTCAAGATCCTTCCTGTTGAGAGTAGGGGATTTAACCAGAGGAAAGAAGATTGATCTGCTTGTTTTGTTTGAGACTCGTGTTAGTGGGAGAAAGGCTGATAGAGTTATAAGGAAAATGGTTTTAATAACTGGATACATTTAGAGTCCACAGGCTTCACAGGGGGTATTTGGGTATTATGGAATGAAGAAGAAAATAAGGTGGAGTTAATTACTTCCACAACCCAATTACTCCATGTTAAGGTGGAGAATAAAATTGATAATTTTTTGGTCCTGCTATCCTACATTTATGTTGAACCTTGTTGCGTCTTGAGAAGAAAACTTTGGTCAGACCTTGTGAATTTGAGCCTCAATGTGAATGATCCGTGGCTTGTAATAGGTGACTTCAACGCCTATTTAAGACATGATGATAAAAGAGGTTGGGCAGGTGTAAATATTCTGTCCATGAAACAGTTTGAAGAATGCATCCAAGAATCGCAATTAGTGGAAGTAGAAAGCGTAGGAGAGAAATGAAGGGAATTGAAAGACGCGCAACGGAAAATAAATTTAAAATTTTCAATTCCTTACCCGGATCTACCAATTGTGTTTAAGTCAAGTAGTAAGAAGTATTACCTTCAGTGTTCGATTTCTTGGTGGCTCAGGGATTTCGCCGTTCAGGATGCCTCTACTCGCCTCTTTTATCGCTCGAAATCGACAACTCAGATCGGCTTCCTCTACCGGTATCCACACGAACAGCGTTCCAATCACGAACGACGTGCTAACGCCTCTTGTCCTTCTAGGGTTTATGTTAGAAGAATCCGTCCTCCCTTCTCTATTTTTGGCCATCTCTTATCTGCAAGTTTTTTTTTTCACTCTCCCCCCCAAAACCCTAGCTCCTAATATCAAATATATAGGATGCTATAGGTATTATGAAGGATATTTAATTTCAAAATTAATCCTAAATTAATTCTGAAATTAATACAATATCAAATATTGCCTAATCAAATAAGAAAACAATTAAATAAATATGGTTTATATTAAATCCGTCCCACAGATTTAATTCACCTATTTATTTAATTCAAAATAAAGATATGACGGAATTATATTTGATTTATTCTCATAAATCAAATTTGAGATATTATATTATATCTTACCAATTTAAAATTGATATAGATCTAATTTATCCTTATAAATTAAATCTAATAATTAATATCTCTTATATTTATATAATATGTATATATATACGAATTTATATATATATATGTCCACCCTATATTATTCATTGAATCTGGACACATCTTAGATTCAACGAATCTGGACATCATAGCTTGTGTTGGGCTATTTTGTGTGCGACCCTGTAGGCCCATATGAAGTTGGCAGTGGGCCATTAACTATAATGACTCACAAGTCATAAGCGGTTTCTAGCAAGACATCACGACTACCCAAATCATATGAGGATCATTGAACGATGTAACCTTTCATATAACCATATCACGTCCCTTTTGTCACACGACATTTTGGTCATGGATGAGGCATGGAGAACGTCATCCTCCTATTTATGACCGTTACTTTCTCGATCCTTGAGTAGTCTGAGTATAGAAACAGAACTACCTTTCCATTATAGTATGGCCGTACATTTCTCAGACTCACTCATCGAGGGGCCCGGTAATATCTCTCTACGAATGTGAGGGACAAATTCCATTTTGACCATTCACATTCCTCCGCAAGAAAAACCACTAACCCTGAACATAGTCTTTATGATCACTCGGTCAAAAGTGACTTTTGACTAGGTCAAAGCTGAGCGTTTCTCATGTAGGAATCCATGATTATCTCAGGTCAAAGGGCATAGTGACATGGTTTGTATATGAGAGAAGCTTATGACTTAACCCATGTAGCTCTCTTATAACAGGTCGGTCCAACACCTTATACTCTTACGTGTGCCTATGACTTTGATTTATATCTCTATATATCTTCAAAGTCATACTGGTCTTATTTCATTTCTGCTCCCACATAGATGACCGACCAGGGACATTTAGGATAAATCATGAGTTATCCAAAGATAGTCATCACAGTAAACATGCAAATAATATGATAACATAATTAAGAAATTCATAAATCAACAATGTTCATAACACAATGATTGGCCCCTATGGCACAATTTCCAACAAGAAATACACTTGGGAAAGGGGTTTACTTATGGAGAAAATTGACTGGGATTTTGCTAATACTGAGTGGATGGAACTTTTTCCTTTAGCAAAAGTCTACACTTTGAATAAGTTTGGCTCAAACCACAAAGCCTTATTGCTAAAAAGCATACCTGAGCAAGACAGAGGAAAAACAACTCCATCGTTCAGATGCCAAGCAGCATGGGTGTTAGAGAGTAATTTTGTGGAAATTGTTCAAAGGTGCTGGGTTACTGGAAGTTGGAATGATCAGTTTAATTCCTTCATGCATGAAGCTACTTTATGGAATAAAAAGAGATCGAGAAACTACAGAATATAAAGAACAAACCTGCTTAATAGAATTGAAAGAGTAGGGAGAGCAAGAGGCAGAAGGGGCTCTCGAAACCTTTGGCAGACAGAGCAAGAACTTTGGAGTGAATATAATAAAATTTTGGCCCAGGAGGAATTGATGAGGTTCCAAAATTCTAGAAATAATTGGCTAAGATAGGGTGATAAGAACACAAGCTTCTTCCATGCTCCAACAAATATGCACCGAAGAAGGAACAGAGTTGATGGACTAAAGAACAACGAAGGAGACTAGATCTATGATCAAAGTGAACTAAAAAAAATGGCATATTGGAGTTCTATCAAACTCTGTTTCAATTAGAATCCATAGAAAGAAATGTTCTTTAAACTCTAAGCCATTTTCCACGTATGGAGTGTCAAGATTTTCACAAGCTGGAAGCTGAAGTCAGTAATGCAGAAATTCAAGAAGCGATATTTGATATGGGTGCTTTTAAGGCTCCGGGGCCGGATGGTATACAAGCTTTTTTCTACCATCAGTACTGGAACATAATGGGGCCTTCAGTTTGTAGAATGGTCTCAGGAATGTTGAGAGACCCATCTAGAATACAACTTATAAATGACACAAATTTGGTCTTAATTCCTAAAATCAATAGGCCAGAGACTCTGAGGGACTTTCACCTTATTTCTTTGTGTAACGTGAGCTACAAGATCATAACTAAAATTATTAGCCGAAAGCTCAAGCATGTAATGAATAAGTTGGTGGGTAATCATCAATGCAACTTCATAAGAGGAAGACAGATTAGTGATAATATCATCATAGCCCAGGAAGTAATGCATTCAATGAAAAGGAAGAAAGGTTCAAGGGGCTGGTTAGCTGTGAAGGTTGATCTAGAAAAAGCTTATGATAGGCTGGAATGGGGATTCATCAATCATACCTTAACAGCCGCAGGCTTTCCAGCTTCGTTACATAATATTATTATGGCTTGCATTTCAAGTCCATCTTTTAAAGTCCTTTGGAACGGAACTCCCACAAAACATTTTAAGGGCATAAGAGGGATCCGTCAAGGGGACCCAATATCTCCCTACATTTTTACGCTTTTGTATGGAGTGGCTCAACCACTTAATCACAAACTTGATAAGAGAAGGAGAATGGAAACCGGTTAAGATCAATAGGAGAGGGCCAATACTCTCCCACATTTTCTTTGCTGATGATCTCATCCTATTTGGTGAAGCTTCAGAGTAACAGATTGAAGTGATGATGAAATGTATAGACAGTTTTTGTGGAGTTTCTGGATAGAAAATGAACAAGAAAAAACCAAGATATGCTTCTCAAAGAATGTTCACTTCTTGAGGGCTATCTCACTAAGCCAAAAAATAGGAGTGGGACTTATAGGAGACCTAGGAAAGTACCTAGGCATCCCACTCATTCACTAGAGAGCCTCTTACAGGTGATTTACCCCCATTTTGGAAAAAACAAATAGCAGACTTGCTGGGTGGAAGAGAAAGTATCTTAATATTGCAGGAAGGACAATACTCGTTAAATCGGTGATCGCTGCATTACCTTCCTATCATATGCAAACAATGCTTCTACCTAAAAACTCATAGGGGAGATTGAGAAAAAGAGTAGAAACTTTTTTTTGGGGAGGAAATGAAGAAGAAAGAAAAATAAATCTTGTTTCTTGGGATGAAATAACCAAGGATAAGAAAAGTGGAGGTTTGGGTTTAAAAGACTTACGTAAGCCAAATGAAGCCTTCATTATGAAATTGTGCTGGAATATGATATGTAGAGCTGATGCTTTATAGGCGCAAGTCCTAAGAGCAAAGTATAAATGTTGCAAAGAGGGGTTGCCTCAAGTTAACAAGAGAAAGAATTCTTCCCTCACTTGGAAAAGCATTTGCAGTGTTTAGGACAAATTCACCACTAGATTGGGAACAAAGATAGGTAATGGAAGAAATGCATCCTTTTGGTTCGATAACTGGTCTGAAATGAACAGTCCGTTGATTGAATTTATTCCAAGAAAGGAGGGACTGATTGATAGTA